GCTGTCCATCCATAATTGCAATTCTTTGCATTACAGAAACTACAAAGAATTGAAAGAATCATAAAGAAATATGAATATTTTCTTTACTAATTTAAATTTTTTGTAAATAATTTTTGTGATGACTAATTAAGCTACCTATAAGTTAAATTATGTCAAATTAGGTATCTTTCAAAATTTTTTGAATCAATATTTCCATCCTTTTTTGTAAAGATGTTTAGAGAAATGGACTACCTCGTATTGTCATCTTTTTGGAACTGAACATCGTTTCAACGAAATCAAGAGATAGATAGATACTGATGTGTTTTTGTTTGTACTCTGTTAGAACAAATCAACATGTTAACATACCCTTAAAAGGTTTAGCACAATGAGATCAGGCAAATTTTGTAGAAAAACGCTCGAGGCGAGAATCAGTGAAGAAAATTGTTAATTTTATGAAAGTATTTATGAAATCAAAAGAGTAGAGTTAACAACAATGAAATTAAGAAAGGCCTATAAATTAAGTGAAGGATCAGTTTAGAATTTGAAAATGTGATTCATGAAATTTAGACATAGAAAAAAGTACAAGCTCGCTAAATTTGACTTTCTCACGAAAGATCTATTCAATTACCTGCCATTTCAATTTGTAAGCATAACATTGAAAAGACTCTAAGAAGAATTTATATGTCACTACAAGAACACAAGTTAGTTTTGGTAAACGGAGCAGGTTGTATTTTGTATCACAGAAGGTAACCATAAGAAAAAGCAAAACATCTTTGTACAAAGCACTTGCAATTTGAATGTTCAGCTAGAATGGACAGGATTGTGTAACAAACGTATTCATTGAATGATCAAATTAGAATTTTCTAAGCATTCATGAATAAGGTTGCGTTTCAAGCATTAGCATCGAAAATCAAGATGAATCTTAGAGCAATTTCTGCAGATGGTTTTAGTTTTATGAAGATAGGACTAAAGTCTGAAGTTTATATTCATGACGGGAAAATTGACAAAATATAGTTTAGATTTGCTCCAAACAAGCCATGTGAATATATATTACCTGATACTTGTCAAATTGAAAATAAAGAATAAGCCAGAAACATTCCCTGACATGAAGATACTAGGCAATAGTCTACTGAAATTGACTCTGTATATATGTTTCTTGTACCATAAAGTAAAACAACAAAAGCTTTGTGAGGGTTGCTGTTGGAATCACTTGGCAGTGTGCTTGGTGAATGTAATTTTCCAAATAGGAGATTCAATCTTGCAACTATTTCCTTTAAAATTTGTTAGCTGTCATAAAAATGGAGTAATTATCGCTGTTTTTAATAATTCAACACAAAACAACTTCTCTTTGGTAAAATCATTCAAAGATGATGTTAAAAAGAGAAGTTAAGCTACTTTCGTATATGTCAAATATCCAAGTAATGTCTTTTTTGAGCTGCCGATAAAAGTAATCTGCTTTTACGAGGATGTATTCATTTGAATTCTTTTACATGCTTTTATTGGTCTTAATCGTCCACCTTTCAGTACAAAACTAACTAAGAGCACATGAGTTGCTGAATTAAAAGATAAAGACGATAGAGTGACGCTAATTATACAATCAAGAACATTCGCATGAACCACATTGCCAGGATATAATCGTATCCAACAATCGAGGGTAAATTTTTTTCGGCTTTGGTAATCTTCGAAATTATTCAACTTTATGATAAGCAACCGCTAAGCATTTTTAAGCAACTAATTATTCAGGCCACCAAGCGATCTTGGAATCATTTTTTTGTTTACTGTCTGAACATAACGAGACCGAAATGTTGAATCTTTCTTACTTTCCCCTTACTTTCTTTCGACAAGTAAATGCAAAATAGGGTTCGTCAAAGGAAGCCTTGAATGAACGGCTTAATTGATGTCTTAGATTCTATCATATAAATGTCATTTAATGTTTAGGAATGTATTACAGATCAGCTTAACAAGCCTTCACAGGCAGAGCTTTTACTTTGTCTGATGAAGTACATAGATCTTTCTACAAATGTTTGCACAATAAGGGATGATCTTGGCAAACTTAGAAACAGGGACCAAATAACTTGAGATTTTGTTCGCGTGCACCAAATCCCTCGGCACACTTTATCAGTCAATGTTGGAAGGCTGAGTAGAAATACCATGGAAACGACTATTGTGAAAGAGAGGCCCAATTCATATTTATCAAATCTCAAAAGATGACACTGTAAACAGTATGACAAAAGATGGATTGTAGATAAACTCTTTTGAGTATAAAGGAATGTTACCGTAAGCATGCAGAATCTCAAGTAGTCATGTTGACTAAAGGTAGCTAATCTCTTTACTCGTGCCTAGATACATTTGAACACGAAAAGAACTTACACAGCATTGTACTGTTGCGAATAAATCTTACAAAACAATTTCGAGATTACCTAAATATAGAAAAATCTAACAAAGACATGATTTTGACTTGTTGTCCTTGTTCGTAGTTTTAATATAACGAGTTTAACGAGAACGTTTTTGTCAAGTTGCAACTTTGAACACAGCTGCAGACGGTTTTTTTACGATAAGACTAAACAGCTTTGTACTCCAATTTTTTCAAAAGAAACGCCCACTAAACTCGCCATGCCTTGTTTAGACTTGAAGTGTAAAAGCTTATATCGCAGTATAGCGGAGTTGAAAATTAAAATTCTAAAGACTTCTTAGGTTATGAGGTTACTTTGTGAACATAATGTTGCACGTGGGCTAATCATTCTTTTATGGAACAAATGAGAGACACATCTAAATGTGCAATTGTTTGAACTTGAAAAAGCTGGACTGAGGTTGACATGCCCAAATCAAATATCCAAAGTTTATTAGTCCTAACTAAAGATCAAAAGATTTAAATTTTTAGACCTAGACAAGCCATTTTTAATGAAAATGAAAATGTGTATAGACCGATAATGCCCTTGGTTTACAAAGAAGTCGCATGAAAGTTTCTTGAATTTTGAAGATATAAGCCTAAACTATCTTATAGAGGGCTTCTAATGCGACGGTAAAAAATACAGCAGCTTCCCAAAAAGCCTTTAGATCTTAAAAAAGAAGCAAAAACATATATGATCGTAAGAGACTAGTCTTGCAAGTCAATTTTTGATATGGTTGCTTGTGAATGCATTGGAAAAATCTACAAAGGAAAGAGTTCAAAAATAGGAAGAAAAATTTAATGCCGAGCTGCATGTTTCGAAACTCAGGCACCAGGGAGCGTTGAGCGAAGTGGGACGTCTAAAAAAACTCGGGGGGGGGGGCTAAAACCGTACAAAATAATAAATGAAATGACAAGCTTAAAAATGAACTTACTGCCCAAGTCTTTAGAGCGTCTGTAGAACAGGCACCGCGGAACAAGGGGGGCTCGGGGGAGGGCTTTAGCAAAAAATCCGAATATTAAGAAATGAAGCACCAGTAAAGCCTTTTTATTCGATTTTGGCCCCCCTCTATTCCTCATTTAGCCTCCTCTATTCCTCATTTTAAGACTCCCACTTTGTCTGTGATGTGAGTAGTGGTACCCGGATGTGAGTAGCGGTAAATGAACAATGTTCACAACAGGAACATATTACAACGATAACTTTTTCGCAATTATTAACTGCCTCCCAGACATGGGCTCCGGCGCCTGTTGGAAAGTGGAGGGAGGGGGCAAGAGAAAATTTAATAATCATAACAAAAGATTTTGAAAAGAGCTCTGTTGTTTTGCAAAAGAGGGGGCCATGGTCTCCTGGCCCCCCTTCGTCGGATTACCTGCCAAAATGTTAAATATATCATGGTTCCCCTATGAGACAATAACAGCAGATACAATTTTGGAACCATTGAACTTTTTGTGAGAGGCAAATCACTTTATAAAATTCTCGTACAATTTTGGTGGGTGTCCTATCGCTTTATCTGAAAGTCCCCAGAAATCCTTTCGCTTTAGTGAAAATCTCGCACACTATTTGGAAGAGAGAATTGCCCCTCGAACTTGTGTGCCTTTCGAAAGAAAGAAAATGCTAAATTGTTTTCTTTGAAAAAACTTCCTCGTTTCACAACACTCAATGTTCTGGTAGTTGAAAGCAAAAAAAATTGCTGCTTTACACTGACAAAATGTCTGAAAGGTTGCTACATACATGTGCTATTTGCTGGTAAATTTGATCATATATTTCAGTGGCATATAAATTGAGAGTACAGATAATTACTTAGAAAAAAGGCGTAGTGCCCAGTTAATAAAATTCGGTGCGTAAGGCTGACAAACGAAGTGTCAGTAATAAGCTAAGCTATGTAAGATATAAGAGAACTTTCAGTATGAATAAAAAAATACACCATGAAGCGCATGTGGTGGGGGAACATGAAGCGCCTTCAGATGCCAACTTAATCTTTGATAGCAAACTGGAAATTGCAATTGTACTAGATGGTCATTACGGTATCATTTATCTGGCCTTTGATTTCTCTAGCAAAAATATGTTGCACACACCCAGTAAGGTACCTTCAGAGCAACTTCTAATAGCAAAAAGCGTCAATGAAGAATATAATCTTCATTTTTACAAAATCTGAGTTGGCTTTGACAATAAACTAACGATTTGCAACAGAGCTGTCACCATTGACAAGTGTTTCTGTCCAACGTCCCCTGTGCACCTCGCATCAGATAAAATCCCTGCTACTACACCTGAAGGAACGTAAATTCGACTATTGCAACGCAGGAATAATTAACATAGGAATAACTCTTTTCTATCTAAACTAATTAATATTGAGACTTTTTATAACTCACAAAGATTCAAATGACGTTCATAAACAGTAACCAATCAAAGACGGGCAGCCTCCAATCAACGACGGGCAAATCAAAATCGCTTCAACCTTCGGTGGAAATCTTATTTTTTAACGAAAATTCATAGAAATCTCCTTTCTGATGTTATGAAATAATGAATTACCCTTGGCAACTAAGAGTTTGCGATCAAACTCAAATTTATTAAAGACATAACCAAGATTGCTAGAAAATATGAGGAAAATTTTAATAAATACAAAAAACGTACCTGGCAGTTCTTTTCCTGAACTTAATGAACAAACCAAAGAACTTTGTCACGGATTACAACCTTCAACTTGTTAGAACCAAATTCTATGGATATAAATGGTTGATTTTTTACTAAAGTGCTGTAGACCAAGAGACCATCAATTGATGTAACTAGGCACCTTTCGATAAGAATAGTGGAAGTCTTGTTTGAAAAAGCCCAGGCCTTGAAAAAGTCTTCTTTTTTGACAATTTACTGTCACTGTTGTTCTGAATTCAACATACTAATAAAATGTTCTTTTAAAATCATACCTTTCGCAATGCCATTCATCAAGTCGTTGTTAGCGACAATGAACACAGTGAAAATAGAACGCTAGTGTTTGCTTATAAGCGGAATACGACAATGGAACCAATTCCTTAGCTTGTACTCAATAGAGACCAGAGAACAATTGTGTTAATATACCGCCTTCCTGAGACCACAATGCGAACATCAACGATTCTTGAAATAATGCATTCAAATGAAAAGAACAATATATCTAATAAACAAAAAAAAGAGATGCAGCAAATCAATATTCACTTTTTACCCTTTTTACCAAAAAACGCTCTTTTACCAACAAGGAACTCCAATTCAACCAAAACGGAACGCTCACGACTCAACTTTTGGTTACTTGAAGGCAGTTTCAAAAACAAAGGACAACATCACAAAAAGTACGTTGCCAAAATATTACCCCTCCCTAAAAATTTTCTCATCGAATTTATACGAAATACAAAATTGACCCTGTCGAGGACTTGGGCGCCGCTACTGTAGTTACGTTATTGTTGAAACCGAAGGTTAAATTGTTCTTTTGAAATTTCGTACACCTTTGGTGGGAATCTTATTTTACATCAGAAAATCCGTAGAAATACTGGTGTTTTGGTGGAATTCTCGTACGCATTTTGCAGGAGTGAATTGCCCATCGCTTGAAGTTGGCATTATTTGCGACCAAATTGTACTAAACAATGTATATGGCGGAGAAAACTCTCCCCAGTTTCCATAAATGTATGGGAAAAAGGGTTTGGAGGGCTGCAGCAAATCTGGCAAAATCTATCGCATTTTTAGGATCCATTCTGGCAGTTCTATTTTGAAGCAATATTTGGGCGACATCCATACCATGCCCCCCCCCCCGCCCCTCTAAACGTTCAGCACCCGCTACGCCCAGTGGCAGATTACCTGCAAAGTCAGAGAAAAAGTCATCCATCGAAAGCTCTTCCATTACACCACGCTCAATGATTAGAAGACAGGCCACCCAATCGAGTTTGACCTAAATTTGATTGCAAGTAATTCTTTGTGCGTTTTAAACACTAAAAGACCTTTCGCTTCTGCAGTTTTTCATCATATTTACCATTTCTATAATGTTTACAATATATAGAATAGATTTCCAAAGTATGATTTGAAACATAGTTTTTCAATACATTATCTAAAAATTACTAGTGTACTAAGCCATTCAAAGCAAGATGTTCTTCTGATCATTAGAAATGACCAGATGACCAGGCAACAGTAGAAAAATACAACCAACCATTCCATTAGCGACAAAATCCGTTTGACTGGACCATAAAGTTTTCCTATCAAAACTCGCAAAAACGTAAAGCTGCATGTATGAGTTACAACAGTCCTAAATTCGACAACCAACGAGCAATATTTTGCTTCTATATTTGCTTCTATATTGGCTAAAACATACAGAATTCAATATTTTGAATAATCGAAGTATTATTGAAATAATTATGTACGTAGAATGCCTTATGTCTTATTTCATTCGTATTTCATGTTAGAAACAATTGACAGGATACGAATGGCAATCGAATATAGTATTTGAGATGGTTTCAACAGATCCAATCCTAAAAAAGACAATTTTGCCCACTAATTTTTTGATCTCCTCTCCAATACCAGACGCATCCAACAAAGAGAGGCTGGGCTGCTACTGTACTACCTACCTTTTAAAATGCTTTTGTTAATAAACCCCAGTCTTGAGGCTATACGTTCTCCAACAGCCCTAGGTAATTTCCGCCATATAGAAATAATATTGTCGCAATAATGTACTTCTATACTATCGATCCAGTTTCTGGTTGAAATGGTCTGTGGGGCACCTAATATGCCTACGTGGTTTCTGTCACAGATAAAAGGATCAAGGTAATCTTAGATACCAAATAACTTCCAAACAATAGAGATTCTTTCTAAAGATAAACAGTCTTATTTATTTCTGAAAACTTGACCACCCTTCACAGATCATTACATCTTGTTGAAAGGATCTAGACAATACCCTAACCTATCAACCATATTGTCATGCGCCAGTCCACGTTCATATTGTCTCTAGTGCTGGTTAATAGAGCACCGAAGTGTGACGTCATCAAAAAATCATTTGTTCGGTTTTTTTTATAAATTTGACCACATAATCTGTAAAAACCAAGACATTTTTCAAGCCTGTCACATAGTTTACAGGGTCATAGAAGACCTTTGCATGAAACGAGCGAATGTAGAGAAATATTTGCGGACTAGCATTAGCAAGCAGTAAAGATGGCACCAAAAGTTGTTGTTCAGCTGTTCCGTTCCTTGTCAGTATCACAAATCAGCTGAAGGCAAGACTTGGAGACAGAAACCAGCTGAATTCAAGGCTCGTGGAACTGTTCAACCTCCTCCCATCTGAAGTGCGTAGCAAAGAAATCAATAATAATATTTTAAAGAGCAAAATGTCTTCGGATATGGAAGATGGTGGGCTACTTTTCAAAAGTGAGCTGGCGCTGGGAAAAGGAGGTGGTAGCAGGGCCGCCGAGAGGGGGATAAAGGGGTTAATTGCCCTAGGGCCTCGAGGTCTAGGGGGGCTTCATAAAGCAATTAATTCCGTTTTTAAATGGAATTTATTAAAAGTAACAAAATTACACTTCAAAAGTAAAACATCTTAAACGAATTAATGAATTTAAGCTATTTGCAAGGGTGTGGTGGCAAAAATTGTTGCTCGCTTCGCTCGCAAGAGGCATTGTTTTTTCCGTTCTCCCCCTCCTTCGGGCCTCCCAAACCTCTCGGCGGCACTGGGTGGCAGACAGAAAAAAGGCATGTGCACAGTTAACATTAAAAGGAAAAAGCAAACCACACCTCACCACAAAATAAACCGTACACCACAACTTTTCTCTATTGATCAGTTTCCCTTGTCTAGCCTACAATATTTACAAATTTACTAACTGCTCATATTTTCGGCGGACCTTTTATTAGTGCCCAACATAAAGTTTAAATAGTGCCCTTTTTGTGTGTTGGACCCCTGCCCTCTGAAATTTCTGGTTGCGCGCCTGGACTGGAGAATTCATAACCCCGAAAACCGTCATTCCAAGGACACACATTTTGTGCGGTTTTTAATACATATGCCACAGCCATATAAATCATCTTCATAAAAGTACTCAAATGATCTGAAGTCTAAACTACGATCTAAAGGTTACTATGGTATTTCATTTCCATCTACCATTCTCATTAAAGTGTGTTTTACCCTTGAATTCTCGTGAAAGTCAGGGGAAAACACATCTTAATGCCTCCATTAGTGACAGCCAACCTGAAGCTTTAACGTACAGCTATGGCTACTAAGGCTATTGGAAACTAATGTAAAACAACACCCAATGGCGGCGCCAGCTACTACGCTCTGGGGGGGGGGGACAAAACAAGAAAATTTAGGCCACGCCCTTTTTAGCACCAGAAAACGCTCTTTTACCAACAAGAAACGTCAATTTTACATTAAGGGAACGCTTATAACTAGCCTTGGGCTATGGAAAGGCAGTTTGAAATCATGGGATTACATCACAAAAAGTATGTTGCCAAAATATTACCCCTCCCCCACATTCTCTCATCGAATTTAGACGAAATACAAAGTTGATCCTGCCAAAAACTGGGGGGACGTGTCCCCCAGTCCGCCCCCTGTCCGATGTCCGATGGGTACACTTTACTTAATTTAACGGCTAACGGCAACTTCTCAAAACGGCCCGGCTTGGACACGACTTTACTTCACGGCTTTACATAATGACTGACTTACAAACACCAAGAGACAATAGGATGCTGACAACAAGTGGGAAATTGCATGGCAACGGGTTACTTTTTATATATATATAAGGCTTGTACGCCGAAATGGCCCATCGCCAACACAATTACAAGTTAACATAACTAACAAATAAACAACAAATCTCAAATTACAGTAAGCGGTTAATACAAGATAATTCCTAAAAGATTCCCGTGATTCGAAAGCCAGGAATATCAAATTAGCAATTAAAACCAGACAATCCCTATCTTCTTGGTTCAATAACCAGGTAAACTTATCATAAAGATCAAGGGATGAGATTCTAGGAAATTCTGAATAAATCACAGATAACATAGAATTCCTAGCAGACAATAATTGCAAAAAGTAGAAAAGGGCTACCGTGAGCCCATTAGCTCTACACCTCTGCGAGAAATACATATCATTGCAATTTGGCATCTTTGATCTCGTGACCAGTCCTGATCAACTTAGTTCCTGCTCCCTGTATCGCAAGAAAAGCGGTGCTCTACTGTGTTTTCAAATGTGGTTTAAGCACAAATTCTGTGTTTTCAGCAGGGAAAACCTTTGTGACGTAAGGACGATTTAGCATGCGTTTGTCAAGAAGTACTTTCTAATTATGGAATCATTATCCCCTCTTTTCTTTCCTCTATCTGGTGGGATTAGTAGGTAAATAATTCTTTGCTAAAAAAACGAATCCCCATTCTCGAAAGATTTCCGAATTATACCACTCACGTTTTAACTGCTGAAAATTTGTTCCTGGGTCATATTAATTTATTCCGGCTAATATTTTAATCCTAGCAGTTTGTACTTCACGCTGGTATTTTGTTCTGGTCACACACGCATACATCGCTCGAAATCTACGAGTATTCGCGAAAGAGGCAATGACTGTTTGAAGCATTCTATGGTTTGAAGTATCTCCATAACTTCATTGGCCCTGTTCACACGGGAAGGATTGCATACCGTCCCAATAGCGTTTCAAATTTAAACTGGGCGTTAAACTAGCGTTCGAGACTAGGCAATGCGACGAATTGCTAAACAGTTATTCTGTTAAGATTTGCTGAGCAATATCTTATAAACGAAAACAATTCTTAATCTAATTCTATAGCGATTTTCTTTGATTTTGCGAGGTAATATCACATTGAACCATTGTGATTCTGTATATGTTGACTATATGCAACAACCCTATCTCTATGGCATTTACAAATATATACATTGACGTCATTCGACCCCAGACCCTTTTTTTGCATTAAAGATAGTGAAAACATACTAATACAACTATATTCAAATGAATATGCCAGGAAATAGTAAGAAAGGTATGATAGTCACCAACAACGCCGGGGCTTTGTGGCCCAAAATCGTGGGAACATCATCAGTGTTAGCGATCCCTGGCAACTTTTATTGTCGCAATCTAAAAATTTTAAACTCGAAAGGCAGAGAAAGCTAGATAACAAAATAACCCTATTTCTAAAATATCAAGTAATTTACAAAACATTTAAAAGCCTTGTCGCTTATAGTAAGATATATTTGGATGACACTTTCTGTGAAGGGTCACTTTAAGCAAGCTTTCACACGATAACAAGACTTTTCCGAACGCAAGGGCAAGGTATGATAAAAAGAGAATATATCTAAGCTCCTGCTTCGCAATGATAAAATGTGGGTAGCAATTCCCTCCAAATGTAAGACGCTGGAAACTGTTGGGATAAACTTGAGCAAAAAGTAGTAAAATGGTACGGTTAGCATTTAAAATCGAAGGTAAAGTTGTAAGATCCAATTTTAATTACATTTAACAGGATTTTGCGGTAAAGAAATTAGTTATACCTAGGGTGTGACCAACTCCTAATGCATAGCGTTTTCCACGGCTGTTTTTTATTGTTTGGACTTGTGTTTTCTAAATCAAACTGCACCAAAATCTGATATTTTGTGTTTGTTATTCCGCATTACAAACTAAATTTTCTAATTCCCATACGTAAGAGCTTTCACCTCTATATCTAAAATACGAAAATTGCAAACTTTAATCTAAATATTTTGAAATAAAAAAATTAGAACCAGATGATCTTAAACAGTGTTGTTACTGAATATTTCTTGTTTGGGGGCATAGAATTATGACGTAGACTGATGGGCCTCATCCTGGCCTCTTTTAAAACAACAGCTTAATCAAATCAAATCACTGGAAGACATGAGCTCCCCACCCCAGTAGTTGGGGGGTATTTATAAACATGTAAGTGTAAGACTTGTATGGTTTTTATCATATTAACACAGTAGCTCATAAAAACAGCTATATAATGTTATCCCTGCCTTTTTCTTTGGTTCCAAAAACCTTAAATGTGAGCTAATATGTGGTGTTGTTGAGAATATGGTTATCTCTAAAAAATTATTGATAATAAGAGGATTATACGTGTGCGGCGAATATTTCACTTTAACTTCAATACGTACATGCTCACAATCAATTTGTGACATTGTGGGGACAGAATTATTTTGCGCCTTTACAATGTCATAAAATATATTGCATTTCATTTCTCAACTGGCGGGCAGTTTTGCCCACCTATAAACATATATTTATTCTACACGCGTCGTTGCAATACTTCCTGGCGCTTACCTTGAGACATATGTGGGATAAAAAGAAGGACTGGGTGGGGGATCGTAGCTCTTCATATTCAATCGAAACTAATCATTGTAATTCTTTGCCAGCAGCTTCGTCATACTAGCAGCCTCGTCATACTAGCAGCCTCGTCATACTAGCAGCCTAACAACATGCCACAAACGAGGGTCCTACGAAATCCACAAATCTGCCACTTTTCACCCCTTAACGCCAAATGCGCTACTTTCTTTACGTCCAAAACACGCTCCATAGCTTTGTTTGATATGGGGGAAAAAGCTTCCATTTTACTGGCGGAAAGCTGTTTAACATGCTTCCTTTGGAATGCTACACCCTAAATAGACCAGACTCTTTCGGACTTTATAGATAACTACTACAAGTAATAGCAAATCACTGTAGACACCTCTAGTTCTTTCCTTCCTCTTAGTTGTATCCCTTTTTTATATTTTTACTTTACTGGACACACATTTATAACAGCCTCAGGTAGTTGAAGTGTTTATCCAGTTTAAATAATCGTTCATTATTATCATTATTATTATTATTGTATTTAACAAATCTGCAGCCAGAGATTCGATTCAGTATCTGCTGGTTTCCTCGCTGAAAATAATATTGTCAAATGATCCTATGACAGCAGTGATTGCAGTTTCAGAAAGGGTGTGTCCGCCCCACCCACATTAACTGGCTGCTTCATTCTAGGAAATGTGTACTAGTAAATTTCGATCAATGGATAAGTCTATGTCACTTGAACGTTTTCTACATCTGACTTTAAAAAAAATCTCAACAATACAATACTTCATCGTGTTTTTCATATTGAGATAGCGTCAACCAGAATTACCAATTATTGTATCTCTTCGCTCATGGGCGTAGCAGAGGCTAAACGTTAAGGGGGGGGGGGGCTTAGTATGAATCTTGTCCGACTGCTGTTGCTTCAGTGAAATAAATTGCCAGAATGGACCTGACATTGGATAAAATTTGCCTGATTGGAAGGGGTGCAGCCTCCCACCTCCCCCTAGCCTATATGTTTACTACACCTATGTATTCGTGATGTTATCAAGGGCCAAAATTTTTTGCTCCATTCTTAGTCATATCAAAATAACCAAGAACGGCAAAAAATTTGAAGAAAAAAATAACTCGATACTGATTATAACCGTAAGATACCTATTTGGTGTTGGTCTCTGTTGTATAAAACTGACAAATAGTAAATCTTGAATACAGCGCATCATTATTATGTAAGTTCCGTCTTCCCTTTCGTTCATAAACAGGGCCGGCAAAACCGGGGGGGGGCGGTGGGGAGGGCATGGCTGCTCCACTTTTCTGCAGAGCAAAATAATTTTTTAGGCAAAAGTGTAAATAAATCTAGTCTACCATTCCGTAAGTAACTATGCTTAGTAATTTTTAGATATGACCTTAGCTTACCTGCTTAGGTTTGGTAACTATGTATTTTCTGAAGAAAACATAAAGAAGATTGAAAATGGGAATTTAGTCAAAAAAATCGGTAATTTTCCAAGTTGTACAGCGAGTAACAGCTTGGCTAAGGAAATGATCGAGAAACCTGGTTCAGAATAACTTGGTGCCTGCACCAAATGATGGAGTTTTGTTTTCCTATGGCCTTAACTTGGCTCCAAAGGACTAGTTGTTGACGGAAACTTTCTAAAAAACGTTACAAAAGAGAGAAATCAGCTTTTGAAGGAAAAGAAACTGCTGGAAAGAAAACTTTAAAGAATATGGGAAATGAAGAATCGGCAGATTGTCGAGAAAGCTTCAAAATTGATTGTATCAATAATCCATTCCTACTAAGAAAGAGAAAATCTAGACGTTATTATAAATACTATCGAAACTCGTTTTGCCAATCCAGTTTGAAAAATTTAAAATTCAAACCCTTTTTTGCATAATCTATCAATTTTAGTTGACAGTGCTTCTGTTGATATTTCAATTTTAATGTTACTGTTAAAACACTATTCGTTTATAATGCTCCTCCATTTCATTTTGGCTCTTTTTTAAATCTAAAAAAAGCTTGATTACGAGCTACAATTAAAAGGTTATTCCAAAAAGTTGCAAGAAAAACTTATGCGAAACATTGATAAAAGAAAGCTTGAAATAATCTTCTCGGATTTTCCTTCATTCAAAATCCATTTTAGATTCAGTTTCTCGCCATCCCTTGGATAATTTATATCTAAAACATATCATTAAAATTTTTCTTGCCGCCAACCATGGTGGCAGCCTTTCCTAACACCTTTCAAAACCTTGATTTGTTGATCAGGCCTATTCGAGCAGTCTTATCTCAATAAAATATTAATATCGGGTCAGGATCCATAATGAGCCCTTTTAAATGTTGAACAGCCACTTTGCCCAGTAAGTTAATTCGTGGAATTTGAATTTACCTGTAGAGTAATATAAATTGTATACCTGCTTTTAATATCTTGTTCGAGCTGAGAGGCAACGCTTATTTCATCCACGCACACGCCAGCTAACTGCCTTCGCTCTTATCCCAGGCCAAAGGTTCTTTAAGCAGCAATAAGAAAGTTTACTTGTTATTGGAAAACAAGACACGTCGAGGAAGTACACCATGACGGCTTCCAAAACAATGAAACCCAATTTCAAACTTTGCAATATGGCAATGTCATTGCGCGGGTCAATTTGTTGACATATTTGTCATCAAAGTTTCAACACTGTATGTTTAAATAGTACATATTTGTGATGGAAGCCCAATATTTGCTGCAGCATAGCTGGCATTTTAGTAAAGGTTTTCTCCTTGGCAAAGAAAAATATAGAGCAGATACGAAGAAACTGATACCTATCTTGTTTTTTACGGTACTATTTGGTACTCCATTTTTGGAATGACCTAAATGGATTAAGAAGGTTGGTACCCGCCTACCTCAGCTCCTGTGAAATTGAGTGATTTTTTACAGCTCCATTTTGCTCATTTACCAACGTTTCACCTCGACTTTGCTCTTACTTTTAAAGGAAGGAGCTGCCAAGAAAATGAAAGGGCGAGAACTTTTCTTGCAAATTACTGATGGAAAGCAGGGGCAAGATCATCAAAAACGAAAAAGGGTGTTTTGCAAGAAAAAATACATTTTGATTTGCTTTTTGCTCAGATCATAACACACATTTCTTACAACTCGTTTGACAAAATAGGTATCAGGTTCAGATCAAGCTGGGTGCAAATGATTTATCCATATAACCATGAAATGGCGGAATATAGCAAACACATCTGTGCAAACATAAGGATTGCTTGGATTTTATCACAGCTAAATAGCTTCTGGCAAATCTGGAGGATAACACTCTTTTTTATACAGGAACCAGTAAAGTTACGTTCAGGCTGACTGTCGATGACGCATTTACCCTTGGGCCCCCTAAAATTCTTCGATTTGGGGGGCCCCGTGCAAAATTTTGAAAGCCTTTAAAGTGCTCTTGTTTTCAATCTTGTGTTTGAATGAACTAGGGGGCCTCGTTAACTAACGAATTCCATTTTAAGAATGGAATAAAGGGCGTGACCACAAGAATTTTCAGCTTGTCGCAGGGGCCTCATGTTTTGTTTTTACCCCAGAGCTTTTGAAACTTTCGCTTGTCCTGGTTTGAGCTTCCCCCAATGCAATGGTTGCATTTATTTTGCTCAGTATGGCACACAGAGGTTTCTCCGGTGAAAAGTGATTCACCATGCTGAAAAGGGTAAATAAGAAGAGTGTGACCTAAGGTCCACAATGTCACAGTAGCGCGTTGTTTCCTTATGTTTAATCATTAAACAATCGTTAAATGGCAGCAGAATTTGATGTCCTGGGAGTTTTGAACCCCAATAAAATCATCGAAAAGTTTTCAGCAGTTAGGTAGTTTTATTGGGAATGTACTGAAATGCGGAACAGATACAAGTTTATTCGTGTCTTATAGTTGGTTGAATATGTTTGATTATGTTTAGCCAAGTATTATGCATGCGACACAAATTTTTGGCATATTTTAAGGAGCCCCAATTAACTTTGGGCCCAGGGTCCCAACAGACATAAATGCGGCCCTGCTGACTGTTCTTATTTTTCTCGAAAATCTGAGGCAGAATTGTTCTTAATCTGTTCTTAAAATAATAGGGTATTGGCAGTGCGATTGCTAGCTTTTTGGCTCTAGGGAGATTATCAGGCCTCATTTGCCAACAAGCAGAGACCGCGGAAGCTTGGGACTGAGGGGGCTGAGGGGGCTGAGGGGGCTGAGGGGGCTCTTACACCCCCCCTAAAAAGTTCCAAAATGTAAGTTTTAATCGTCATTTATCTCAACAGGTCTACAATACACGAGCATTCATTACACTTTCTTTCATTAAGAACATAGCTCAAGACCTAGGTTCCTAACTTCTGGACCTCTTTTAATCGAAATATAGTACCAAAACCTCTTTAATAGCTACTTAAATTTAACTAAAGTTATTTTATTATAGACTCGAGTAAAACATAAAACTGGATTTTGCTAATATAACTGTAGCTGGAAAACAAGGCCAAAAGACGAAAAGGGCAAGAAAGAAAATTAATTCACGTAAATTAATAGAGAGAGGGGCAATGACTCTTAAAACTATTTTTGTCAAACCTCTATATTCGTTTTGAGCTCTTGTTAGAAAATATATTATAAACTGAGAAATCAAAGCCAGAAACTAACTCTATGAAACACTTGATGTATCCACAACTCACTTTTAGCGATTTGCGAACTGACGCTCTTGTTTCTTTTGCAGTGATAGAAATATTTCAAATATTTCTACGTGTAGATTTCTTTATAAAGTGGCTCCTTATAAAATAGCATGTCTTCCATCCAAATAAAACGCTCTATTTAACTGAAGAACCCAAGGAAAACAAAAAAATCTCGATTATTGTTTTCAAAGTCCTTTGCCCCTCAACTGTATCAATAACAGCTACCATAAATTGCTCTACTTCTGGTACCATGACCCACTGCACACCCATATTCATTCATTTTGCTGACCCCACTAATTGACGTGATTGATCAACGGCCCTTGTTCTATTACATTATTGAAACTTAATATTGGTGGGGGGAAACGCCCTTCTGTTAACTGTTAGCTGATTAGGCTTGACTGTTAAAAAACCTTTGGGTGGTGCGAAGGAACAAGAGAGGTGCTTGGATGGCTCAGTTGATAGGGTCGCGGACTACAGATCCAAGGGCCTCGAATTCGAATCCCTGACATGACCAAGTTCCACCCAGATTGAAGCGGGCAAGCTAGCCCCCCTGAAAATCCTGGCGTAGTGGTCATACGGCGTGGTCACATCGAGAGGAAAGCCGAGGACATTGCTTGATAAGCATAACTTCGCTGTGTTCAAAAAACTACCCAAATACAATTACAAATTCAAGGGAGCGATGTATGTAGAGTGACCGCTCAAGCCGAGAACTTGCACACTTAAAAATCATTAAGATAAACAAAATACAATCAAAAAGTAGAGCTAGAGAACATCTTGGAAAGAGCAATTTCAGTTCTAGGCTTTACAAAATAAGCTTATTAGCGTTGAAGCACATAAAACTGATCAACTTTGGAAATTTACTTCGAAGGTTATTGAAGAGGGAGCAAATTATATGAACAGCTTCTCTCGACACTGGAAATTTCACTGCTGCACCAATTGAATATTAATGATAGAAGTGATTAAAAAAGCTTTTCGATTCACTCTGCTGCAAGAACTGAAGCAAAATATAAGTAGCATAAATTAAAAGTCGCACGAGTTTTGGAAAAAGCGAGTCGTTTTCGGAGTTTAATTAGCTTACAAGTTGCGTTTCAAATTTTAGGATTTCTGGATGGAAGGAAAGAACACATAATTTGTAACTTTTGTTAAAATCAATCCGATTTGATAGCCGATTCGTTATCTAATTTCCTTAGAGTGTGTCATACTGGATTTGCACTTTTTATAAAGAGACTCCCGGTTACAAGTGTAAATGAGATTTTAACAAGTATAGCATCAAAACAGTGTTAAAAAAACACCAGGCCTTTTAGTTTTTTGCATATTGACGCTTACAATTTGACATCAAATACAATAAATTGAAAAGATGAACAGGAGAATTTAAAAGAGAACCCAAGTAGCTATAAAAAGCGAACGTACTGAATTATCCAATCTTTGTTGTAGCTTTTGCAAGAGGAACATCTTTGCGTAGGCGATGTGCGTGTAGGGTACAATGGAAACCATTTCGTCCAGGAAAGTAATGAGGGGCAAATTTCAAAAGGGTTCATGAAATCATAATTGCTAGTTAAGTAGAGTATGTTTAGTCATTGGTTTAGAAGAAAACTACGAACAAAATAAAACAAACCCCTTACTTCGAAAGTTTCAATATTTCTGTTTAATCAGGTAATGTGATTAGGGGATTTCTTAGAGATATCAACAGGTGACCTTTGTGTCTGGGAGGAGTGCATCAAAACCATTTCCCCGTTTCGTTGCTTCAATAGAAAATTTGAATTGGGTGTCATGAGTGAGAATGAAGCTCTGATTTATTTGAAGGAGTAACAAGCTTTATTTAGCTTATTTCTTGCATTCATGCAATAACGATAATGAATTATGGTGATGCTGATGATGTTTAAGAGGTATTATTGTCTCAACTAAATGATATGAAGCGCCGAATATCATATTCACAAATGATGATTTTCATAAAATAACCATTTTCTAGATGATTCTTTAAGCCGCTAAAGTCTATGTAAAAGGTCAGTCTTGTCTTTCTTGCGCAAATGTTTCTAAGTGGACTTACAGGCAAGTCGAATCTCGCGGGAGACGAACCAGACTTTGTCTGGAGGACCGTTAGCCTTTTAAAATTTTGCAGCATGTGCACATGCGCAGTTAAAGTCAATGACGTAATTTTTACATTGCATAATATACTCTGTGGTAGGAAAATTCGTGGCAATTACGGGCAAAAAAGACGAAGGATATTTAGATAAAACGTGTCATATGAAGATTGGGAACTTATCAGATACATTAAAATACAGGCAAACAAGGCCGTGAGATATGTAATTCCAGAGCTATGGATATGAGCTTGTCAGTAGATATGCAGCTGAAATTTTTTTATGCATTGGTCAATCCGATTATAACTTATGAAGCAGAGGTATGGGGGTGTGGTGAAAACAAAACTGCTGGATCAACTAGAACTAGGATTAAAAATTCCACTCCAAATTATATGGTATATGGGGAATTGGGGAAATTACCATTATCCATAATGATAGAATTAAGAATGATCGGTTTTTGGGCCAACATAGTCAGAGGTAAGAAAGCAAACTAACAAATATCTTG